GTACCAGCTCTAAAATGTGTACAACAAAACAGATTGTGTTATGGCATCATTTTAATTTTATGTATTGTTAACTAATCTTGTTAAAGTTATTTAATTTTTCATTATTTCCAATCGGGATTTTCCAGTTGGTCTTCTAATGTACGGGTCTTTTCTAACTTTTCTAACACTTACCCTAATAAAATTCAATATTCTCGAATATCTTTTCCTAAACAACCCGAATATTTAAGCCTATTTCCACGTAAATATTGTAAAGTACAAATAGTTAGATTTTCAAATCTTTTGTTTCTTGTGTCCCTTATCCTGGGACTTGCCCGCTATTGTGACTTTTCCTACATATAATAATCCAACCCTCTGTCATTCCTACAATGACGAATCTGACCCCTTCTCTAACTACCGATTTGAATCATTGCATTTTGTAAAAGCATTCATTACGATTCAAACTTTGTAACAGTACAGTTAGAATTAAATCTTGTCTTGTCTACAGGACATCTGCCTAGTTATTTTTCTTATCCTATCTTTTCACAAGAGTTATTGTAATTCTTGTGTGCATTGAGCATTCATACTCACGATAAAATAATCGTGAGTCAAAACAAAGTCAGCTAACCAAAGTTTAATTGTTGTTTCTGAAGGAGTGGAGTCCTTATAACACTTTTCAAGCCATTGCTTCACTTAAACGGTATTTTTCCCATCAAAAAGCAGTGTGTAATTAAAGCACGAAATTGTTTATGCTCCAATGTTTTGAAAATAACAAAAGTAGTGTCACTCTTAGCACAATAACTCATAAACTAGCGTTGTGTTGGGCCCGAGAGTTTTCAGCCCATGTAGTAAGTATAGCATGTAGTAATATCAAGCTATAAAATCTAATTCGCAGTGTATTATATTCGGTATCTAGAAGTTAATTTGTATGTTTCATATTTGCTCAGAGATGTTGCCATTTGCGTTAACTCCAAGAAAAAGTGCTCCAAAGAAGATTCCCAAAATATGTCAATCTATTCATTTTGAATAGAAGGCAAAAAATTCTCAGAGAAATGTAAAATTAGTGTGACAATAAGTGTATCCACCTGAAATATAGCCTGAATTGGTATTAACTCTCTCACTACTCAATCTTGCACCAACAAGAAACGACCATTCCATTTTTGGGAAAGAAATGTTTTGGCCTTCTACTTTTTCATCTTTATACAACAAAATACAGAAATTTTACAAAGAAAAGGAGGAAGCAACCAATTACAAAAAATCAACTCAATACAATCATGCAAAGAAGTACCTTTCAGACACAAACTGGAAGAAAATCTCTCTCGAAACAACTATTTTCCTATAAACATTGAATCAAATGAATAAAAAATATCAATTATACAAAAACACATTTCTCTATTCAGTTTGTATTATAAACAATCCGTATGGAATTGAATCAGATATCATTCACAGGATTACTACACAATATAGTGAATGAAAGTAAAATTTAACTTGAATGGAACACTGTCATCGTCAATGGTGAACATTCGATGTTTCGGCATGCCTCATCGCCTCTTCAGCACCAAATCTGGATGGCATTATAAAATGAAGCACTCATTTCATTCGTAAAGTTATGATTTTATGTCACGGATGAATTCAATCTACTCAGAGGTGTTTTCTGACGTTCAATCGTATTCGAGCGAGTATTAAAAACGATTCGTAGTGACGTCAATAATAATAAGATTCGCCAGAATGGAATGATTCAATTTGTGTCAGATGTCAAACTCAGTAATGAAAACATGAAGGCAAGTTACTCGAAAATCCCTCAGATATTCTTGATGGTTTTGCAGATTTTTTCAGTGGTTTTTATAATCAAAAACTAGTAATCAAAAACGTTAGTAGTGAAGTTGTTTATCATACCCTAAACAATTAAAGCCTAAATTTACTGCGGGACCTGATCATATTCCAGCATTCATCATTAACTATAGACCCATATCAATAATATGCAACTTCGCTAAAGTGTTTGTGAAATCCTGATTTATAGCAGGTTACATCCTTATTTGAGGATATAACCTGCACTACACCTTACATCACTTCAACATGATTTTATGAAGGGTCGCTCGACAATTACCAAGCTTTTCAATGCTACCCAATATATTCCTGAAACCATTGATAGGACATCCCAAACTGATATCATATATACGGACTTCTCTTAGGTGTTTGACAGACTTGATCACGGATTACTGCTATCGAAATTGTACAGGTACGGCTTTTCTCTGATCTTGATACAACTTTTCATATCATACTTCACTGATAGGCGTCAGTATATTATATTCAATGGCTTCAAGTCCGTGGAATATGCAGCTAACTCGAATATACCACAAGGAAGCAACCTAGGTCCACTTCTCTTTAACGACTCCATAAACGACATAGTTAAGGTCATTGATATCAACTGTTTGATATACGCGAATGACCTGAAATTATATTGTGAGATCAATGGCATCGAAGAATATCTTCAACTCTCCTTCAATCTGAAACGTGTTGAGCAATGGTGTTTTCGCAATAATATAATGACGTACACACTGAAAAATCGTCCATTCTCGTATCAGTAAATGATATTCCACTTCAACGGCCTCTCACATTCACCGATCTAGGTGTTACCTTCGACACAAAACATTCCTTCGTACCACACATTGAAGCCATTCTGTCTGCTGAAAACAGAATGTATGGATTTATTTCACGAATCTTCAGAGATTTCTCGGATCCATCTACATCGAAAACCTTATACTGTGCTTTCGTCAGATCAAAATTAGAATATACTTCCATGATCTGGAATCCATCTCATCAGTTGTATACAGAGAAAGTTGAATAATTATAACGTTGTTTACTAAAACTTCTCTCCTTTAGATCAGACAATGTCTATCCACCAATTGGATTTCCCCATGATACATTGTTAGCTAGACATGCTATGAATAGCTTGAGTCGCCGTCGTGATTGTCACTCCACAATTTTTCTTTTCAAACTAACTAATAATTCAATTATTGACCCACATATTCTGCAAAAACGTAATTTCAATTTACCTAGACCAACCTCTAGAGTAGTTAATCCTTTTTATCTGTCAACACCACGTACAAATATTCTGAAATGTTATGTTCACCTCTGCATAACATGTGTATATTACTGGAGTTTTTTCCTAACACCAAATCGTTATTTTTTCACCTCGACACGTGTTTCGATCACCCAGTGATCATCTTCAAGAGGAAGATAAAACTGGGAACTTCGCAAAACTAAAGCTATTTATCCTATATAGATATATCATATATCATGCTATACAGATTACAATAAGGACATATTGTAAAATAATAGAAAGGCCAATTGTAAAATTAATTTAGGGTGGTATACCTGTATGGGTGGCATACCTGCATGGTTTACCTGTATGATATATCTGTATAACATAAATAGCTTTAGTTTTGCGAAGTTTCCAGTTTTATCGTCCTCTTGAAGATGATCACTTGGTGATCGAAACACGTGTCGAGGTGTAAAAATAACG